TACCATGCGCTATAGCTGGGTGACAGTGTACTTAGCGATGTAACGGCGAACACGTATATTGTCGTTATCACCTGAAATGAACAATATATCGGTATAGGACCTAACAAATTAAAAATTCCCTCTTGTGGTTCGAAATAAAATGCCAATGGTTTACCCTCAGAATAAGTTGTTGGCTGAGGTACATGTAGCTCCACGTTAGCAATGCACATTTCAATTAAAGAACTAAATATATCATTAGAAAATGAACAATATGTATAGTATCAAAGCAATCAGACTTGCTGTACTCAACAAAAATTTGATTCACATTTTATCCAAAATGACAAAAATATTCACCAAAATTAGAGAATTAAAGATATCATTACAAAATTAACAAATCTGAGAGAGGTCCACATGTAGTACCTATAGATGTAATATCAAAGCAATTGCACTTGCGGTTTTTAACAAGAAGTCGAAAATATCACTTTTTACCAAAAATGACAAAAATATTCACCAAAATTAGAGAATTAAAGATATCAACATGAAATGAACAAACCTAAGAGAGGTCTACCCAAGGTACATATATACCAAGTATCAAAGCATTTAGGCTTGTAGTTTTCAAGAAGAAGTCGAAAAAGTAAAACATTGACACGGACGACGACGACGGACGACGACGACGGACAATCACTCATATGATAAGCTCCGCTCGACAAAGTCGACAGCGGAGCTAAATATCATCACGAAATGAACAAATCTGAGAGGTCTACCCAAGGTACATATACACCAAGTATCAAAGCATTCAGGCCTGTAGTTTTCAAGAAGAAGTTGAAAAAGTAAAACATTGACACGGACGACGACGACGATGACGGACAATCACTTATATGATAAGCTCTGGTCGACAGCGGAGCTAAAAATAAATTAACAAAAGTGCTTCTTGTATTAAAGCAATAACCACTGTCCACTGATAATGGCCTGAACCATTATTTTAGGGGGAGAGGAGGGGGGCTGATGATGTGAACTTTTCATTTTCTAATTCAAATACATGTACATACAAATTGTTCATAAAATATATTCATGATTTAACTAAATATTTGTATTTACCGTTTCTTCTTGTAATTTTCCTCTGAACCTTTTCATCTTATCTGCTGTCTGCCAGGTGCGACAGATGACCTCACCAATACGACCCATTGCCTGAAAACAATGATCACTGTTATCGTAGAAATCATATTATTGACATTCAAACAGCCAAGTCAGCAACTGTATACACAGAATCACAATCAATTAATTCCATCAATACAAAGAAGACTACAAAACTAGACATGAAAAACCATTCACAAAGAAGATAAAGTTATAAGTTGCCATCGAACCTTTAATAAGTCAACATCAGAGATTTTTTTAAACAAGGAAACAGAGGAGCAGCGCCCTCATGCCATGGCCATGCACCCCCTTACCCTGGGGAGCAGACCCTCTGGCAACCATAAAATTCTGAATGACCAGGGATCACATGTGACCACAGTCTTCAATTGTGACCTGTCTGATAGTAATTTTGGCCCCAAGGAAGCCATAGAATGCTCCATTTTAACTTAGAATTATCAAAAACTCCACACACTGGTAGGGAGAACCCTATCTCCTCCACTTGGTGGTGCCGCTGAATTGCAGTGCTCCCTCTTGCATTTTTTCTAGAAAAACCCCTGAATATAAAGTTTAGATTTTGTTTTTATCTGATGCAATATTTTTTTTAATGAAAATGACTGCATGAACAATGCATAGATGGCTGCAGAAATCCTTGTAGCATACTTTTAGGCAGTTTTCAGTTAACAAATTTTAGTCAAGCAAAAATAACAGGTTGGCAAATATACTTCATCAAATCATTAACTTAGTAATTACATGTATTTTAGTAGTTAATTAGTAAATTTAATTTCAGTTTGTTTTGTAAACAACCCCATTGATGTCAATATCCTTACCTGCGAATCTGAGGATATCATACTTATAGCGCCCATGTCATGCAAGATGTCTTCAGCCGCTATGGTTTCCGCTCGGATACGAGACTCAGCAAATGCCACATCCTCTTTCAGATTTCTGGAGAAAAAAGAAAATAAAGAAAAAGTGCTTAATATAATAGAAAATATCTGTTAGTGCGCTGAAGGATGTGTGATAGTCTAGTAGTCACACGCCTTTTTTTTTCAATTTCATAAGACACGAGTAAAACACTTAATAATATAATAATGTTTTGAAGACAAATCAAAGTAAGATGTAGGTAAGGGGGGGGGTTTACATATATTGCAAGAGTTTGGATTATATTTTAAGCATGGTTGGGGTGAGTACAGTGTAAAAATTGTTTAATTTTTGAGAAATTTTCCAAATGGCAAGTTATACAAAACTCTGCACACAGCAGATTATTTAGGCTGTTAAAACTTTAGTGAAAACACCCAAACCCACAAGTTTTACCTAAACAGGCAAGCACTCAAAAGTATTTTCCAAAATATGTATCAGCAAATAATTATTTTCATAAATTTCCCTCACTCGTCTAAAAACAGAAGAACAGATTCTTGAATGTGGCCTTGTGAGATTTTTTAATATTTGTGTTCCAATTGCAAACCTTTAATGTCTTTCTTGGCATGATAACATTTTAATGAACTATCTTGGCATCAACCAGGCCTGATTGAACACTAGCACCAGGTGGTGGCAGACAAATGGCGACTCACTTCTCTAAGGCGATGCACTGAACAGTGATTGGTCAGTTTACTTACTTATCCAGGTGGTGGCAGACAAATGGCGACTCACTTCTCTAAGGCGATGCATTGAACAGTGATTGGTCAGTTTACTTACTTATCCAGGTGATGGCAGACAAATGGCGACTCACTTCTCTAAGGTGATGCACTGAACAGTGATTGGTCAGTTTACTTACTTATCCAGGTGATGGCAGACAAATGGCGACTCACTTCTCTAAGGCGATGCATTGAACAGTGATTGGTCAGTTTACTTACTTATCCAGGTGGCGGCAGACAAATGCCGACTCACTTCTCTAAGGTGATGCATTGAACAGTGATTGGTCAGTTTACTTACTTATCCAGGTGATGGCAGACCATTAACATATCCAGATGTTCATCAATTGTGTTACAAGTGAAGGGTCTTGTTGGATTGGTTGATGAGGGCAAGACATTGGATTCGCCGCACACACGTATAATATCTGGTGCATGACCTCCACCAGCACCTTCAGAATGGTATGTGTGAATTGTCCTACCCTGAAAATACACCAAATAATTACCTGTAAATGTTACTTTTAATTGATGTCATTTCCTGTTTTGTCATCCAATACTGTAGAGTTCTTTATTTTTGCATGGAATTAATTTTCATTTTTGCTGAAGACATAATTTAGTGAAAATAAAATTCCATATTTTCCTATATTTTACATTCAACTCGTCAAAAATCCGTGAAAATAAATTGCATACAAAACACCCCAAAAGTCTTTCCAGCGAAAATTAATTCCACCTAAAATAAAGTATTTTACAGTAAGTCTTAGTATTTAACCACATAGAATTATGGGTAATCACGGGCACTGTGCTTCATTAGGTACTGACACCACCTAGTCCATAATTCAATGCACTTCATACCTTGAAAGCTTCAATGGTGTCTTCTACACAACACGATTCATTCAGCGTATCTGTATGAATCATAACACATACATCATACTTCTCAGCAACCCTGAGTGCAGTGTCGATAGCACACGGTGTGGAACCCCAATCTTCATGTAGTTTTAATCTAAAATACAAAACATTGTTTAAATGTAAAACATAAAATTCAAGTTCAATTATATATCAGTTCTATTTGTAGTCAGAAAAACAACATGGTGGGTTATAAATTACTTTCCCAGGTTAATACTTGCAGGAATGTTTCTCAATTGAACTACATGGGGGTGTTCAACATAAATAGGGCTTCAATAGTCTAGGCTGGTCAGTATTTAAATTATAAAATATCTCATTATCCAGAAAATATAACTTTGTTTGAAAGTCACAGTGTATTGTTTGATTTGATAATAAATTTATGATTCATAACTACTACTATACCATTGATCAAACCAATAAACTGGATACAGTGTTCAAAGAGTTTATTTTTATTAGATTACTTTACATGTGAAAAATTATTCCATTATCCCAAGTAACTTATCTACTTTATATTTTATGATAGTACTGAACTGCTAAAAATGGAGAATTATGCAAATACAGATGTTAACCGAAAAGTAGTCATGCCTTTGATTTCTGTCGGGTATGTTCCAATTTTACTTAAAATGTGCTGAAATAATACTAGAATAGCTAAAATAAGCTAATTTTTATGCAAATTATTAATATTCACAGATGTCAACCGAAAAATAATCAGGTCTGGATATCACAATGCATCTGTATATCATGTTTTATTGAAACAGTCTTGACATATTACTGGAATAACTAATTAATGAATAATTATCATGCAAATTAGGTAATTATTAAGAACAGATTTCTACCCAATTCTGACACTTTGAACTGTTCTCGAGAAATCAGTAGAATATAACAGCTGAAAACTGGCTTATTATTATGCAAATGAGATCATTATTATGCATGAATGTCAACCAAAAACTAATCAGGTATCTACATGTATATACCATGTTTCATCAAAAAGCAAATAGACTAACAGAAGTTCTTGATATACTGGTGGAATAGACATGTAGGCAGGGTAATCACAACGACTCACAGCATGCATCACACACAGGAATAAAAAATAACCAAAAGATGTTGTACAACTATTTGGCTAAAAAAAATACCATTCAAAGGATTAAAAGTAGGTATTTTTTTTTTAAATTATGCATGTTATGCTAATGAAACTATTTATAATGCAAATTTATTATTCATAACATGAAAGACACATACCCAATTGCACCAGCACTCAGTTGTTCTACAAGTTCATCCACAGACTCCGAACAATTGGAAGTGTTTCCTTTACCTATAATAAAACATTCATTTGTAAAAATCACAGACACTGAGTAATAAG